AGCGTCTCTGCTGCTGCAGAGGTGCAATGGAAGTCAGTATCTGGAAGGGAAATACGCCTCTGCAGAGACTGCTTTGGCAGTGCTGGAGAGTGTATCAGTAGTGGATTGCTAGGTGGAAGTGTATATGCGCTCGCTGAGCGTCACTGCTGCGGCAGTGATGTAGAGGGGAGTGATGCTCGGCTGAGCGTCTCTGCGGTAGCAGAGGTGCGGTGGAAGTCAGTATCTAAAGGGAAGTGCGCTTTGGAGAGCTGATTAACAGCTGTGTAGCAGATAGGAATCAGGCACAGTAGAGCGACTCTGTGGCTGCAGGGGTGCATAGGTATTCAGAGTCTGGTGCATTATATGTGTGAAAGCAATACATGTTCCCGCTAAGCCTTTACAGCTGTATTATTGCGGGGAGTGTGGTGATGGAAAATAAATTGATACTACAATGCAATGTAATTAAGTGGAGCTGCTGTAAAGGTGTGATGGTGGTCAGTATGTAAGCAATACGAGTTCCCGCTAAGTCTTTATAGCTGTATTGTTGCGGGGAGTGTGGTGATGGAGAATAAATTGATGCTACAATGCAATGTAATTAAGTGGAGCTGCTGTAGAGGTGTGATTGTAGTCAGTATGGAAGCAATACGAGTTCCCGCTATGCCTTTATGGCTGTATTATTGCGGCGGAGTGTGATAATGGGTAAATTTTTGAAAAGTGTACATGTGTGCTCTTAAAGAGCTTCACTGCTGTGGCAGTGGGAGCTTGGGGCTACCACTGTGGGAGTCCGAGCTGCGGAGAATGAGTGCAAGTGAAATTGAAAAATTATGAAGAGGAAGAGAAGGGAAGTTTAATAAAATAAAAAGGGAAGTTTAGTAAAAATGAGACCTATGCAACTAAGACAGAAAGTAGGATGAACAGACAGAGTCGTGCGGCTTGGAAACTAGGTTGAAGTCTGCAACCGAGAATCAGCTGGGCTTCTCTGAGGAAATATTGGCTAAGGCAACTTGAGGATTTAAAGGTGTTAGAGGACCAATGACAGAGTTTATATCTGTTGTTGGAAGACTGTTCAGGCAGGGCGTCACTGCTGCAGCATTGGTGCAGGGGAAAAAATAATCTCAGCAGAGCTTCACTACAGTTACAGAAGTGCAATAAAATCAGTGGTGCAGAGAATTAAGGCTAACAGCCGTCTCTGCAGTTGCAGCTCAGGCAAAGCTTAACTGTTGCAGCAGTGGTGCAGAGGGAGAATAAGGCTCGGCAAAGCGTCTCTGCAGTAGCAGAGGTGCAGTGGTACTCAGTATTAGAGCCTCACACGGAAATACTTAGTACTATTAGCAGTGATATTTAGAGATGAAAGTGAAAAAGGGGCTCAGCTAGAGCGTCACTGCAGTTGCAGTGATGTTAATGGGGTGTATAGTTAAGTGGAGCACCTAAACAGTCGATATTAGTAAGTTTTGAGTGCTCCCGCAGGGACGTTAAATACTGCCTTTAGTGATATGTAAAGATGAAGGTAAATAAGGCATATGCTAGAGGGTCACTGCGGTAGCAGTGGTGTTGTGGGTGTGCAACTCTGCGGAGCATTTCTGCAGCTGCAGCGGTGTAGTAGGCCAGTATGGAGGCAACTTGTGCTCCCGCAGAAGCATTTACTGCTGTATTAGTGCGGGGAGTGCAACGATAGCGGTATTTAGAAAATTTGTAAGTGTATGCGAGCTCATTTAGAACGTTCCTGTTGCAGCAATTGAAACTCAAGACAACCCCTGAATTGGTCGGAGCTGTGGTGAATGAAAGTGAATAGAAGTATAGGATAGTTTAAATTTGGAGAGAAAAGTTAAAGCTAGAAAAACAGGGAAGGGTAGTGAAGGAGCTCCTATGTTAAATAGAAAGGGAAATAGGAAGGAAATGACAGAGTCATACTTCATACCCAATAATGCATGATGGTGGAAGTTGGCTGGAGAGGATCGGCTGGGCTTCCCCGAGGTGGTATTGCTCTTTTGTGGTGTAAAAATGCTAAGAGGTTTAGAACCAGGGCCGGAGTGGGACACCTTTTCAACTCTGGAGTTTCAAGCCTCAGACCAGCCCACCTCAATTCACGACTGACTATATTAAAATAAGTAAATAAATATTTCCAAATCAGTTTCTAATGGCACAATCATGTCTTTTTTTTTTTTTTTTGAGAAAACAGCTGCTTTAGAACTTCAAATGTTCTACAACCCTAACAGTATTATATGTCTTATCAATAAAAATGAAACCACTAAATTACTCTAGCAAGGATCGAACCCGGGTCCGCGGTGTCTTAACCTAACGTGCTAACCACTCGACCACAACAACAACAAAACAGAAAAGTTGCGGTAAAATAATGAATAAAAAGGCTGTGGTCAAGTAAATAAATTAAAAAGGCGACACTGCTGAGAGCAACAGATTCTGGAGCTAGGGACACCGGCCCTCCCCCCCCCCCCCCCCCCAAAAAAAAAAAAAAAAAAAGGGACCGGCCCACCGGGAATTCTCCCGGTCCTCCCGATTAGCCAATCCGGGCCTGTTTAGAACGGGTGTGTGGGGGAACGGATATCATCCTGCATCCCTTCATCCTGCGAAGATAGATCAGATATGGTTAGGTGTATTGTTGGATTGAAATGTCATACTTAGTTCAGAAGACTTAAATTAAAAAGGCTAGTGTGAATATGGCATCGAGGGTGTGGGCTATGTGAGTGGAAAAGTGTCATTTGCAAAGAGTGTAAATGTATTTAGAAATGGATGTGGAGTGTAATAGGTTGGATGAGGGTCAGCTTCTGCAACCAGCTGACATGATCTCTGAAATGAGAAAAACAAGAGAGAATCAGAAATGACATTACAACATGGTACATGTATGGCAAACACAATGAATTATTTTAGCTGATAACCATGCGGGGCGTCTTAATAAGAGCATGGGCAACTAAGTGTGGAAGTGCCTTTGTTAATGCATGGTACGAAGCCTCATTGTCGCAACGTGCAAAGATAGTAGAGGTAGGCATTTGTCCCTCCTAAGGATGGCAGATTAAATGGGAAATCTGCTCTTCTAGTGGTCCTGATGTACCTCTTGAAGACAGGGTAGGTGGAATTATAGTGGAGTTTAAACCCCTTGGTTTGTATCTAACGCAGAGTCAATTGATGAAACATCAGACATGTCAGAAATGTCCTCCTCTCATTCGTGGAAGTCAAAGCGGGAAGTTTGTTTCTTTGCCGTTTTCACATCTAACCAACTTGCCATTATAAGCTTATGGCTTATAAGTGTATGGACATGAGTCACTGGGGCATATTACGATTGGACTTCTATGCCTAATGCGTTGAATGTTTTTCAGTAGCAGAGTAAACTTTTTAGAAGTTAAATTGCTATCAGATGTGGCAGTGTTTTTATTTATTTATTTATTTATTTTCTTGATTTATACATTTTATAATTATTTATTTTCTTTATTATTTATTTATTTATTTATTCATTCATTCATTCATGTATTTATTTATTTATTTATCATCTGCCAACATCAAACCCTGAACTTAAAATTAATGTCACCATTTAGTAGTAATTGTGTAAATGTAATGATAATCATTCATGAGCTTGTCAAGAGAGAGGGTGGGACCATCTAAAATTTTTTTGAGAGTTCATTGGATGGTGACGCTTCTCCTTTCAGCTATAGGCTCGAAGGAGTGTCAATCAAAGTTGCAGTAAAAGGCTGGCGGCCATTTTGTTTGCCAGAGAACTAGTGTTATGATTGGAGACTTTATTGAATGCACCACAGCGAGTAGTTTGGAGGATTAACATGGATGTTTATCAATGTATGCACAAGTTGTGGACTGATGTTTTAAGGATTGGATTGTTTAGAACCTTGAATGAGAGGAGAGTCATTCTATTCACGCAAGAATCATCCTTTAAAGATGGACGTTTAATCTTAGTTGTAGTTTGTGAGGCTTCCCCTTAAAAAGTGTCATGTATGTCACTGCTGGTGCACCCTTAGAAGAGAGTTCAGCTTGGATCGCAGGCATCAAGAGTTTAGGCAAAGTTCATGGATGGTGATCGAGTTTTTACTGTGATCTTGTTGGAGAATTGATTGAAGACACAGAGATTGCATTGTGTGAGGCAATTTGAAGTAGAAGGTTTAGAAGTTGTAGTTGGATAAGTTGTTGAAGAAGTTGTTGTTGTTGTTGTTGTTGTTGTTGTTGTTGTTGGAGAAGTTGATGTAGCTGGAGAAGTTGTTGTTGTTGGAGAAGTTGTTGAAGTTGTTGGAGAAGTTGTTGTTGTTGGAGAAGTTGGAGAAGTTGATGTAGCTGGAGAAGTTGATGTAGCTGCGGTAGCGGCTGATGCAGAGTAGTGTATTCTTCAAATCGAAGATGACTGTAGTGAGAAAACCCTGGCTCTTTATAGTGGTTAGGAATGGCCTGATTGGTGGATCAAGCATGCTAATGCAGAACCAGCCCTGTTCAATCATAATCACGTGCTCCTCTCGAAATTAGTTTATGAATAAACTTCACTTATGACAAGTGTGGAAGAGTAAATGATGACAGAACTTTCATTTTTTGGTGAACATTCCCTTTAACATATTCATAATTCTATTTAAGTCATTTTCTTACCTTTGAACAAATTCGAGTGTGCAAGACGCCTGCTCCTGGTACACCAGATTGAAGTTGTAGTAGCTTGAAAACAAAGCTGCAAATCCAGCTATGAAATTGGGGTGTGGACCAAAAGCTACTTGTCCCTCGATGCTCAGCATCCACCGAGTTGCAGTGAGAATGTCACCTAAAATTAATAAATATATAAGCAACACTTACACAAAAATGCTTGCAAAGTTTATTTAATAAATTTACAGATTTATTACAGGACATTGTACATTACCTAAGACAATTAGTCTTGGAGAGTCTGGAAGCACCAAGCTTTTCTCCACATCACCTGCTGTTGCTAACACCTACAAGAAAAAAGTGTGTGTGTGTTGGGGGGGGAGGGGGGGTGTTTGATTTACATGCATTTACATTTCGGATATAAGAACAAAATATGTACTTTAAAAATACACTATAAGACTTACATCCGTCTGAAGAATCAGTGCATCATTTTTTTCTTTAAAGTGTGACAGAAGCACAAGGACCACACATGGAATGAAACTTGAAGCTCCACTATCATCAAACTTCAGAAGTATTCGCTGAATCTCATCTGTTTTGGTACCTGCTGGCTTTTGACGGAAAAACTGAAGAATCATCTTTCCTTTTTCTTCCATGGACTTCTCAAGTCTTTCCAAAATGCTGATGTTGGTAAGTGACTTAAAGTGGCTATACAGTTCTTTGGGTGTAAAAAGATATGGCCACTCATTTTTCAACTCAGCAATGGATGGTGGTGGACAGGCATTAATCGATTTACGTTGGAGGTAGTATTTAGCTTTCATTAATTGACTTAGATGTCCTTTTTGAGCTCCAGCTGGCCCCTTACAACTATAGAGGTCCTTCATTTCTTCCTGCTTTTCTTGGAGACTTTCTTCAGTATCATCAACAGGACACTCAGGCTGCCACCTTACACATCCATACTGGTCAGTAGGCCCTGGTCCAGTGTCTTCGGGTGGTGCATTTGAGGTCTTTTTTTGTTTCCTGCGTCTCGAAAATGAGCAGCCACGATTAACATGCTCCACTCTTGTTTTTAGTTGTATCAATAGGGATCCATAGCCAGTCCCAATTCTTGTGCCATCTTTCAAAACATCAGCAAAGCTTTGTGGGTACTGTTTAACAATCTTCTTTGCAACAATGAGACATTGGGATTTTGATGGATTTAACTCTGTCTGTCTCATCTCATCAACAATGATTCTCACCATTTCTCTGCGTTCTTTAGCTGTAGGGCGTCTACCCAGTGCAGTGGCAGTTTTAATACCAGAAGACATCCGATTCCATAGAACTTCAAAGTTTTCAGGCCATACAGTTAAATCGACAGTTGTACTGGAGCTGTTTGTGCTAGAGACACTTGGTGTACACGAGGAACTGAAATTTGAAGATGGTGAGTTTACTGGTGATACATCAAAGACTATGTTTGTGGATTCTAAAGGTGATACTTTGGCACAAACTGTTTTGTCTGAAAAAAAAAAAAAACACAACAAAAAAAAACATTTGCCCTAATATCCTAATACAGTTCAGGACCTATCAACTATGAACAATGACATAGTTCAAGCTATTTATTATTTACCCTTATGTTGTCTCAGACACAACTTACTTCAGTGGAACACAAATAAATTTAAAATAACTGTTATTTACATCCATACAGTGCAAGTCAATAGGGTCCTTACTTAGGCTCTTAAACTGTTCAGTTTCAAATAAGAAATAAAAGCATGAAGGTTATTTATCTGAATTCAATTTAATCAGGTATTATTAAACTAAGTTTAAACAGTTTAAACTGTCTTCAGTAAAATATTCTATTATGTTACATGGATGCTTTTAATTACCTTTATGATGACTAATTTCTTATTATTTAACTTGGAATGGATTGGGCCACATTGACATGCACTGTATAAACAAAATCACATTTCTCCATTAAAAAAATAAATAAATAAAACTTTGTTACTGCTCCACACATAAAAAAGGAAATGTTGAATGTGTTTGAGACAACATGTAGGTGAGAAAATTGTATCTATGTAAAGTATACCAATCAATCTGTAATGTCAAGCAATTTTGCACCAGTCATCATAAAGATGACTATGGCATACCTTCTATATTCCATGCATTGAGGAGCCGACGACACTGTATTGGTGTGATGGGATCAGGAAGATCGCCCTCTTTAACAAACTGCAAGTCAGATTTGGATTCAACTCCTATGCTTGCCAATTTGTTCAAAAGAGACACTAGTTTCTCCTCTGATAGCCCAGGTAGGACTGCCAATACAGCATCTTGTACGTCCTCATCCAACGTGGACATGCCTTTATAAATCTGGAAAAGAGTGATGGAAAACAATCACTGGTAAGTCGTTCATCGTGTACTGTGCTAATGGATAATAATCAAGGAGATTCTCTTGTTTTACACACAGGTAGTTAGAATCTTCAACTGTCTCTACAATGCAATGGACACCCATATCAACAAGTTGCACAGCCTGCTGCCTCCTCACAACAAAGAAGACAGATTCATTGCAATGAATTAAAATCAGTTGAATCTCACCTATGTGTAGACCTTTTTCATCTTGATTTAGTACAACGTACATGTTTCTTTTGTACTTTGTGCCTTTGTAAATGACTTCATTTGCAGCTACAGTGGAGTCATGAGTGAAACTGAATGCTGAAGTAGCTGCCTTGATGTTGTCATTGTAGTCACTGGTATAAAACTCATTTCCTCTTCCCACCTGAATTACAGGTGGAAAAAGATTCCCAGCACTTAAGTATGATTGTAAAAGTTGATGTCTCTCTGCTAAAGTAGCACACAGGTTCTTAAAGTTGTGCAATTTTCTTGCACACTGTTTGAAGTAAGTGTGCTTACTTTCAAATCTCATCGTCCAAAGACGAATCAGAGGGCCAAACTGGATTATGAGCTCTGGATAGTGACAGAGATAGTGATGTTTAGGTTTAAGGGGAAAACCTGGAAATAGTTCCAATCTAGACTGGATGTATTCTTCTATGAAGACACCCAAATAAGCAACCTGATCAGCTGTAATAGTTGGTGAACACACATGGACAACTATTTCTCTTAAAAGCAAAATCATGTTCCATGCACTACATTCGGTTGGGTTTTTTATCCTGTCACCAACAAACAAAGGAAGGACTCTCAACAGGCACCAATTTTGGACTGCGTGCCCACCTAACTTCTCACTATTTGGACAAAACTCCGGAGGTTTGTCATTTGCTTCACTACCAAGATAGGTAAACTGACTTATTCTTCTGTTCAGTTCTTCAAAAGTGAAATGCTTCCCTTTGTTTACCAGGTGGTTGATACATAATGCCAAGTCACTGGAAACAACACCCTCAAAAAGATCATGAACTAGACATGGTGGAAGACCAGGCCCACAAACATGAAAATAAAGCAGTTGGTTGAATACAGAGTCAAATTTGATACCAAATACAGATTCAGAGTTGGTTTCTCTTAAGTCTTTTATAATTTGCTGATATGACAGCTTTGTTCTTTTTGAACCCTCTGACAATGGACTGCACTCAAATGTTTGTCTGTCTACATCACAAAATCTACAAAAATAAGTACTTCTGCTGAAGTTCTCCAGGAAACCACCAATACCGTGCGACCCAAGGTTGTCTCCTGCTATTGCACACAGAGCCCCTTTAATAACTTTGCCATCCTTCAGTACAATGCCACTGTCCTCTAGGTCTTTTAGGTCTTTAATCAATCGATTTAAAACTATTTCCTGTCCAAAACACTTAAAATCCTGTTCCCTGCAGAGAAGAACAAGCTGCATCTGATCGATATTTGATCTGTTATGTGGTAAAGTATCACCAAGTGTTAAATAAACTGCAAAAATCTTGTGTTTTTTTCGACCTGATCCCAGAGGATTTACAACTTCGAAAGCATCTTGATAAAGGATCAATGCTATAGATGAACTGTCCATTTTAAATAAGGCACTATTAGCAATATTTTGTCCATCCCATGTCCTCAAACAAATCCATTTTTGGTAAGCGAGAATGAGATAGTTCATATTGCCTTTTGAATTTCTCTGATTTAAAAAGGGCATTGAGAGTTTCTTTTATAGGCACGTACTGTGCAAAGCAATCCTTCCCCAAGTCATTAGTACCCAAATACACAGGAACTGGCTCAATATAATTGAACTTGTTTTTAAAGACTGTTTTGCGACATAGATCTGTATGCAAAACAGAATTGCCTGCTTTCAGCATGTCATTTTTTTTTAGTTCTTCAATTACATTTATTATTGTGTCAGTACAAACACCATGTTCAGAAAATTTATCCTTAAGTTTTAGAAAAACATGTGCCTGAGCTAAATCATGTATTCCTTGGACTTCCTCAATTATTGTTTGAATTACAGATGAAGGTAATAGAAGTTTTGCTTGAAGTTTCAAATAAAACAAAGTCAAATTCTTCAGAAATAAATCATCTACGCTTTCAAAAATCTCACCTGGCTCAGGCTCTTCACTTTCATCTAGAGATGTACTGGGTTGACACTCAAGCTGTGATGGGTTTGCTAAAACTGCATCATGCAGGTGCTCAGGTTGATCATTTTTGTGTGTTCTTGAGATATGGGAAGCAAAAGTGGATTTTACGCTAAATGTCCTCACACAGCTTTTAAATGGGCATTTTATTTCCCTTCATTCATCTATATGATCTTTTAAATGCCTAATCAAATCCTTCAGACTTGTACATTTGTAAAGACAATATTCAATCTGGCAGATTAAAGTTATGTCTGACTGGTTAAATCTGCCACCTCTATGTGACTTTTGATACCCCTTATGGTCTCTATATAGATGAGATTTGAATGCTGCAAATTTTGTAAACACACGGCAACAGTCAGGTACACCACAGGTGAAGGAGCAGTTTGGAAAATTGCTGTGCACTTTCATATGCTGAGTATAACCAAGAATGGTTTTGCTCTCGTGCTGACATAATTTACAGAGATACATTATTCATCTATATTCATCTGAATTAAGTGTAGTAAGTGAATGGAAATTATTTGGACCAATAGCCTATTATCTTATCGCTGCGTTTTCTGCTTTAAGTTAAATTTTGTTACGCCAAGGAGCTTTGTTAACGTTCCTTCTGCAAATTTTAAACAGAAATTGAAACAGTAAAATTAAATGGAAAAATCCAACATGTGAATCCAGCATCCAATTTATGAAAACATTATATTTGTGATGCGAAAACAAAACTTTTGTTTATTATGTTTAGCCACAAGCCCTTCGAAAAATGTGGCGCTTTTCAAACAGTTAATACACTAACAACATGACGACAAAAACACGATAACACGGTGGCAATACGCTGATAGTTCATTAGACTTAGGCTATTATGTTTTAGTGTGTTTGTTTTACCTTTATCGATCAGATTCGAGTCACCTCCAACAACCTAATTCGCCACGTCTTGATTTTTCCACCAAAGTTCCTGAAACAAGATATTACATTTGAGTTACAATCTCCTTTAACGTACTAGCAAAACAAACTAGCTTAAAACATCGGAACTTTTACATGCAACTAAATGCACTGATATCACGTTGTACACAAATCAAATCACATCAATAAACCGAAACATGCAAATTACATTTAAATGATCGATCCAACAAAATCCAGCAGACAGCTATAAAAACATTAACGTTATATTTGTCGTGTTTTTCGAATCTGACTGCCCGCATAATGTAACATTAATGTAGCCTTACAAACACTCACGTTGCACTAGCCAAACTGCTAACTTAAGGCATGCTCGAATAAAAAAAAACACGACAGGTGAAAAACATGGTATTAAAACAATACGAGTATTTATCAGCATTAATGACTTATGTTTTTAGTCACTTGCCTATGTCGTTTGGGTTCGTACCGCATCCTGCAACCTAACTTTATCATTATGCACGGCTTTATTTGCTGACTAAAGAAGACATTTTAATTTAACGACACTCTGCTTCACTAAACAAATAAGTTTAAAACGATTGGAACTTTTACATATAATTAAAATGCCGTGATATCAGTGTGACAAATCATTACGTTGTTATATGTTTAATGAATCGCTTGCACGAAATAAACAAAAGAAGATATGTTTATCATTTATAGACGTAAACATGATGAACTTACCTTGAAATTAACGAATAATGCCTTCTGTTTTCTCCCGCTTGTCCAGTCCACCATATTTCAAATCTGCATCAGCCCGCGAAATTCCATAATTCCACACTACAACATGTTGTTGTAAAAACGCAGAATCTACATTGACACACCTCCTACCTGTATATTAATTTACAGTCCCCGTAGAAATTTGCAGTTAACAACTGTAACTCTTGGTTTAACCCATAATGCATTGCGAATTACAATAATAACTTGTGAAATGTTAAAACAATACATTCCTGTATAATTTTGCTGTAAAAACTACAGCATTTTGTTACAGTATATTTAAGGACACAAGCCGCATTTTTAAGGTACTAATGTTATGTAATTATGTAATGATATGTTCTACACAAATTATGGAACATACTTTGTATTGTAATTAAAAGAAAAATAAATAACGTTTTCTTAAAAATATTTTCTGATTTCTTCTGACAGCCTCCTTGCAAAGATGGCTGATTGCTATTGTTCTCAAAATGTGGACGGTGATGCGCATGAAAGGCCCGAGTGCAAGTGCGACCCTGTTTTTGATTGCCAAATAAGGTTTATTGTGGACGACATGTTTAAACAGCATTATAGGGACCATATGATCTTTCTTCTGGAGAAGATCATTAATGATGCGTGTGATTGTAATCATGATTGTACAGGAGATGGCAAACGTGTGAAACAACTCAAGAGAAAAATGGATGTTGTGAGAGAGGCCTTAAACTCACGGGCCGGTACGATAAATCAGTTGACACACCTGTGTGTTCGTAGCAATGGTGCTGTCTGTGCAACCATTACAAAAAAAGTGTTGATTTGGGGGTAACGCAGGTTCTATGTATGGCTACATATATAACAGATATTTGTGTGTCACTGGTTTCACAAAACAAAATAACAAATATTGCTGAGATTGTGGGAGTTATGACCAACCACATTCTACAACATGACAGAATGCACTTGGCAGCATTTCTTTGTTGTTTAGATATTCAGTAATGTCGTGATTGATCTGGTGTACCCTGTTTTTTCTTCAGTGTATGACTGTGTGTGTATATATATATATATATATATATATATATATATATATATATATATATATATATATATATATATATATATATTTTTTTTTTTTTTTTTTTTTCTTTTTCTTAGTTGATTTGTCTTTACTATTGTAATGCAATCCATGTTTGTTCATTATGTACTACTCTATTTCAGTGTATATTTATTCATTCATTTTCTTGTCGGCTTAGTCCCTTTATTAATCTGGGGGCCCCACAGCAGAATGAACCGCCAACTTATCCAGCAAGTTTTTACGCAGCGGATGCCCTTCCAGGCGCTACCCATCTCTGGGAAACATCCACACATACACACATACACACACACACACACACACTCATACACTACGATCAATATAGCCTACCCAAGTCACCTGTACCGCATGTCTTTGGACTGTGGGGGAAACCAGAGTACCCGGAGGAAACCCACGCGAACGCAGGGAGAACATCAGAACTCCACACAGAAACGTCAACTAAGTCAAGGATTGAACCAGCGACCCAGCGACCTTCTTGCTGTGAGGCGAACGTGCTACACACTGCGCCATGACATAGTATTGTTGATTGTCTCTGTTTTAAAACCAAAACATTTACAACTCAAACTTTCATGACACTTGAACAGAATACATATCTAATACACAGTACATTAGACACTGTTGCAAAAAGATGTTAATGCAGATTTAGTGGCAAATATTCATTTAGTTTTGTAGACAGATCGCACTATTGACAGATTGCACTATTATGTATTCTTTTTCATTCTTTTATAACCTGTTTTAACACATTTTATCTGTTTTTATCAGTTTTTAAAATAATTTTTATTATTTGTTTGTATTTTTCTTATACTTGTCTGTTTTATTTCTATTTATATAAAGCACATTGAAATGCGCTATATAAATAAACTTGCCTTGCCTTGCCTTTGTAGATTCATAGTTCTCGTGAAAAAAATATTGTGAAGAGTAAAACAACAAAAAATAATTGGCAGTAGAAATGGTATTGGTACAGTATTGCGTGTAGCATTCAACTACGATACAAATAACTGTGGCTATGTGTTGTTATTCATGTTACCTGGGACACATTTTAGGTTAACAATATTCCCATTTCAGGAGTTGAGCCCAGGGCGTTTAGATGAAACCCAGAAATTTTAACCATTAGACCATATTGGTGTAACTAATGTATGTAAAAAAACATCACTCCCCCCCACCCCCCCAAAATAAAACATTGTTCTTAGACACTCCAGAAGAAAGGAAATAACGTAAAGTAACTTTTAAGAATCAACAGTTTAAAAAAACATATAAAGTATGCTTTGTAACGTACAAACTCTGACAGTGCTGCAAAATTACAGATTTTTAGCACATGCATAAAAAGTTTACTTTTTGTGTTAAAAAAGAGCTACAGAGTGCACAATCAAAAGCTTGAATTAGGACAATGCTACTGGTTTGCAAAAACAAACCTCTAGACATGCGTTAAGTTTAATGAATATTATTTTAAACATCACTTTTCTGAGAGAAATGTACAGATATCGTTTTTATTTTTAGAGTGGAAAACATGTGGTTAGTTTTTAGATTATTAATTTGAAAATGTGTTTGACAATAAAAAAAAAAAAAAAAAAAAACATTGTTTAAAGAAACATACACTCCAAACTAATTGTGTGTAGAGAGAATAATCTTGATTAAATTAGTTGGTAAAAGAAAAGCATCATTTACACTGTAAAAAAGTAATCAGTCTACTTTCAAGAACAACTTGTAAACTTGACTAATTTTGACAAATGTGTAGACTTACTAGATTAGAATTTACACTGTTATATGAACATATAAATGGTGGATCCAGTAGTTAACCTAGAAATTTTTACTATAAAACAACAAGTTTATTTAACTAAGGGCTGGAGCTGTACTGTTTTTAGGTAAACTGAGAGCCAATTTCTCTTCTTAAAATAATTATCAGCGTTTTCCATTATTTGGAATAATATTGTATACATATTTCTCTTTATATGATCAAGTATTTGCAATGATTTAAAAACAGTTTGAATCTAAGTTTGCATGCACGCACATACGCATGCACGCAGGCACGCATGCACACACACACACACACACACACACACACACACACACACACACACACACACAGTTAGCTGCATGTGGATATATAAATATCAGCACACCTAACAACATATAGTGGTTGGTAGGAGAGAACCATCATATACAATCAGATATATATATTCCATATCTGATATAAATCTATCTTTCACTAACAGTTGACAGGATGTTATCTAAAGTTTTCCTCATCATCACTCACACACTCACAAACACACCAAGACGGAAATACAGAGCCAACACATAGGCGAAACACAGAACAGTATATGGTAATGGTTTATTAATTATAATATAATATAATATAATATAATATAATATAATATAATATAATATAATATAATATAATATAATATAATATAATATAATATAATATATTTTAATAATATAATATATTTTAATAATATAACATATTTTAATAATATAATATAATTTAATATAATAGTATATAATATAATATAATATAATAATATAATTTAGATATTATAATTATAATAATATAATTTCTTGCAATAATTAAAATCTAAAATAATGGTTCTGATAACAGAAAAAATTTAATTAATTTGATTAGATTGTAATTAACAATATTATAATAAATAAATTAACTCCATTTGATTGGATTTTAATAACCAGAAATATTAATTCAATTAGTTTGATAAAAATCTAATTACCGGAAATATAATTTAATTAGGTTGATTAGAATCTAAATACCGGAATTCTTAATTTAATTAAATTGATAAGAATCTGATTACCGGAATTATAAAGTTTATATAAAAGGGGCAGGACTTAAACCGGAAGTCCCAACTTATGGGCAGGGCTAATATCCATCAAACTTTTTGACATAATGACCATCATAAGTCTCTCTCTACCAATGTATCTGACTGAGTCTGCAATACTGCTTATGTTGACCTCTCTGCTGGCTGTGAAAAGCTTGTTTTCAGGCCTAATACAGCAAGTGATAAAAACAGCTTCAACCACTAAAAAGCATTATTCTTTTTGTTTTAGACAACATTTCATGCAGTGTTAAACATATTAAAGCAACTTGTAATTTAAAACCAGTTTATCTGACTGAGTTTGCAATACTGCTTATTTTGACCTCTCTGCTGGCTGTGAAAAGCTCGTTTTCTGGCCTAATACAGCAAGTGATAAAAAC